GATGCTAATAGCTCACTCAGTGACATGATTAGTTGACGCGGTATTTGACCCAAGGTTCGGGATCGGTGCCCGTACCAGCCTAACTGGCCCTGCCGGCTGATCACGCTCTTGAGGTGAAGAGCATTAAGTGGCACCCCCAAGAATTCGATGTTGTCTGACCATCAACACTGGCGTACAGCGCACTCTTTTCGTAAGCCAGACACGATGATAATTGCTAAACCGTTCTGCACCATCGGATATCAAGTAAGAAAAATGGTGTACGAATGACCAACTGCACAAGCTCGCCAGCCACTGACAGACTTTGGTTTCAATGGACTTGTGCCGCGTAGGCCACCCAGTCGATCCCATCTTCTGATCCTTGCCCAACAATGTGATCCTATCGCTATTTCGAACATGGCCTCCAAACGATCGCGACAGGCCTTCGAGGCCGACCTCCAAAAACAATCCTCACCTTTTGTTCTGTATGGAACACCTCTGCCTCCCCTGGATGAGAATACTCGGGATGATGGGTCTTTTGTGCCAGTGTGGAAGCAGGAGGTCACAGACGAAAGAGGGCGCAAACGCTTGCACGGTGCCTTCACAGGAGGTTTCAGCGCCGGGTGAGCACTCGGAGCAATGGTCTCAAGAGCACAATGGCTAAAGTGGTGGACACAGATACTTTAATACCGTAGGCTCCAAAGAAGGATGGACTCCTTCCTCCTTTGTATCGTCCAGACAGAACCGCGCAAAGGCTGCACAAAATAGGCAAACCCAAAGACCTGAGGATTTCATGGACGAAGAAGATTTTCGCGAGGCTGAAGAATCACGCACACTGAACACCTCCTCAGAATTTGCGGGATTCGGCACGGAGCACGATACTCTGCGAAAGACCGCCGCCATTGACATTTTTCGACCGTTGAACGAAACTATTGGGTCAAAACTGCTCAAGCGAATGGGCTGGAGGGAAGGTCAAGGCATTGGCCCTCGAGTTCGACGAGCAGCAAAAGTTGGCGAGGAAGAGCCGGAGGACGAAGAAGAGCATGCGCAGACACATCTTTTTGCTCCAGATGATGTGCAGGTGGTTTCATACACGCGAAAGACAGACCATAAAGGCCTGGGATACATTGGAGACTTGCAGGGCCACAAGGAGTCGTCAGGTCGAAGCATCTCAACAACAAATCCCGGGTCTGGCTCTGCTGGCGAAGCTTCAGATGAAGAGGGCACTGCTCCACTGTTCGCTCCTGGGAAGAAACCAGCACAAGCAAGAAGAAGGACAGGACTTGGTGTCGGAGTCCTCAATGATGATGACTCCGATGAGGACCCGTATTCCATGGGCCCCAAGATATCATACCACAAGGTTATTGCCGGCGAAAAGATGCCAAAGTCCAAAACAAAGAGGAGCGGAAGCGCTGCAAACCCTCTTGTAAAGGCCAAACCCACATTTATTTCCAAAAAATTGGCAACTTTGAAGGGAATCATGAGGAAGTGCCACGATGGGCGATTACCCCTGGATGGCTTTGTGTTGACAGATGAACTAGATTCACTGGGCTCAATGACCATACAGGACGAGAAGTACAAACCCCCAGAGGTCCCTGAAGACTGGAAATCATCCATTTCGCCGGCCGCGGAAGCAGGCGCTGCATCCACGACTGTCTCGACAGCAGAGGCCGCGAAGTCGTCGAATCTTACGGCCAAAGCCCGTGCATCGCTGTTGGGCGAGTCACAACTTCCAGGAAAGTCGATATTTGACTTCTTAACACCTGCTGCTCGTGATCGCGTGGCTGCTGCATCAGGTCGCCAAAACCTTCCCGCGGCTGGGAGCGAACAACCAACAAATACTAATAAGTCATCTGAATCTCAAACAAATGACCCCCAACTTATGATTCCCCAGCTAGACCGGGAAGTTGCGCTCCAGGCCCTGAATCGCGCAGTTGGTGGCTGGATGCCGTATGCAGAGGATGAGAACAAAAGATCAAGATATCGAACTTTTCTCGAGATTCACGCCGGACACAGAACGGCCGAGGAGGTGCCACCGCGAGCCAACAACATGAAGCGGGAGGAATGGATTCTAGAGATGCAAGAGTTCGCGCGGGCAGCGGAGGTGTTTAAGCCCATTAGCGGCTTGATGGCTGCCCGTTTCACCTCTTCATCGTCTTCCGCTCAAGGTCAAGATGGCAAATCGGCCGACACGGCCACAGATTCGTTATTGAGCAAGCCCCAGGCAAGGCCGGAAGATCCTGCAGAATCGGCCGCTAAACTCGGAATGTTCGGTCCCATGACACGGTCTGTCATCAATTTCTACCCTACCAGGCTCCTCTGTAAGAGATTCAATGTGCAAATGCCGGCGCACTCAGGTTCAGGGGAAGGTAGTGGTGGAAGTGCAACTGCGGCTAGCTCTGGCGAAGCCGGCTTCGCGGCGTCGCAATTCAAGTCCTTCGGATCTGCGACATCTTATCATGACCATGGTCCAGAAGTCGGCAGAAACCCAGTCGGTATTCGAACGAGCGAGCCGTCGATTGCAGCAGTGGTCGAGAGCCGGCCTGCTGCGCTCGATCCGGAAAGAAACGAAGCGCTCGAGCAGCAACGGCCTGGGCAAGCTGTGTTCAAAGCCATTTTTGGTAGTGATGATGAAGAGGATTAGGAGTGGGAAGTCAGAAACGAGTCCCAGAGAGTCATACTTCAGCTCGACTTGTGTATGGACGAATTAACTGACGGCTCGTGACAAGGCTGGGTTTGTCAAGGGGCTCACGAGGCTGCGACAATCTACCGATGCCAATTTGTCTTGGCTCAGATTACCAGTCCATGAAGGCACTGAAGATACCTGCGGCATGGCATGTGCCTAGGTATGTACCTCCGACAGTGGCTGTCTAGCCCATACATGTAGTGATTTGCGTATTCCTAGCACATTGCAGACACAAAGTGAGCAGGATTCGAGAAAGAGCCAAGTTAGATGAACAGTTTGGCCAACTTTTACCGTTTCTTGAAAGCGAACAAGTTGAGTATCTACAGAACATGGCTTAACAGGAGTTGTAAAGGCTAGTGGCCGGTCCAAGCACCCTGTTCCTCAAGTTCGATGTCGTGGCGTGGTAATTCACTTTGTCCAGAGGATAAACGGGTGGCAGACTGGTTGCATTATGGCTAATGAGCTGACGAGGCTGACAAGGCTGAAGAGATTATTATTAGCACTTACTTTTTACCATGTCAGGGACCGCCGGGTTGAGACTGACACGCCACGTTACAACATCAATTCGTCTTGTCCGCAGTTGAATACACACTCCAGCCTATTTTTCTTTGATCGCCCACTCACTCCAGTCATTCCTTTTCTTCCGTCTGTCCTTAACAACATGGCGCGCCGCAAACAGGTCACGCCCATGCAGCGCATTAACTCCGGGGAAGTTATGCAGGCCCCTTCAGATGTTCCCGAACAGCGCGCCGTCTACAGCAATGGCCATATCCCCTCTCCTTCTGAGAAGCCGACCTCGCATTCCCAACAGCGGCCACAGATACAGCAGGCCCACCCAAGCATTCTGACTCTCCTCGTGTGCGTCGGCGGTATCTATGCCTCGTTTCTGACATGGGGCGTGCTGCAAGAACGCATCACCACCACGCCATACCCGCTCACTTCCCCCTCCGCTGCGCAGGCGCAACAAGAATACTTCCGCTTCCCGATCGTTCTCAACACAATCCAAGCTGTCTTCGCCTTCATAAGCGGGAGCCTGTACCTCTCCTATACGACCGGACGATTCAACATTCTTCCCTCTACCTCTTCCCTCCTACCACTGGTGCTGGTCACACTGACCACCACTCTCGCATCTCCCTTTGGCTACGCTTCCCTCGCCCACGTCGACTACCTCACATTTGTCCTGGCAAAATCATGCAAACTGCTGCCTGTAATGGCGTTACACGTCACCTTGTTCCGCAGACGATACCCTCTGTCAAAATACATGATAGTACTGGCAGTGACCAGTGGCGTAGCGGTGTTCACCCTCTACCACCCCCCGAAACCGGGCAAGACACAGTCGACACAAAACTCGAGCATCTATGGGTTGACGCTTTTGGGGATCAACTTGCTGTTTGATGGCCTGACAAACACGGTCCAAGACCACATCTTCCAATCCCCGCACCGCTACGGAAAGACGTCAGGTCCGCAGATGATGGTCATCCTCAACCTGCTCGGCACAATCTTGATGGGCGCATACCTCGTTGCCACACCATACGTCCCTCAGGCGCTCATCCCGGAGTTTGTGCGGACCGACACTCACGAGCTGGCTCAGGCCATTTCTTTCTTTCAGCGCCATCCACCCGTGCTCAAGGACGTCCTGCTCTTCTGCCTCTGCGGCGCCGTCGGCCAACTCTTCATCTACGCCACGCTAGAGAGATTCTCTTCCCTACTCCTCGTTACGGTGACAGTGACGAGGAAAATGTTCACCATGCTATTGAGCGTCATGTGGTTTGGACATTCGCTAACCAAGGGCCAGTGGATGGGCATTGGGTTGGTCTTTGGCGGAATTGCCGCCGAGGCATATATACAGAATTTAGAGAAGAAGGAGAGAGAGAAAAGGAAGAAACTGGCCGACAAGGCAAAATGATTTACTTCTTCGTAGTGGGAAATGGGACAGGACCTATACCATTAAAAAGGCATTAGACAAGAAAGGATAAAACCGACCAGCACACTTAAGGAAAATATAGTAACTCCAAACTATGACAAATTTGTATAGCACCTACAACACCACCATCGCTCATGTTTCACGCATAAGACAACTCATAGGATGCGGGAGGGCAACGAAAGCTCCCGCCAGCATCTGTAGGTTTACGTCACGAAAAGGCACGGGTGTGTGCATGTATTGGAAAAACCACCACCCAACAGAACATGTTCATGGTCCCTCCAAGTCGCCCTCGCCTTCAATCGCAGCCTTCCGAGATGGATAGACCCTTGCTCCATTATCGAGTCTCCCTCCGCTCATATCAAACATCAGCCCAAGGGAAATGCTCATAAACACCACGGGCCTGCTGCAAACAAATCATGAACCCTCGGTATTCAAGAAGGCGTCTAGATTCAGCCTCGCCGCTTCCCAGATGTCAGGTCCGAGCTTCACTGATGGCAGCGCCACTCGATCTACATCGTGAAGGGTGTTGTTGTCATCGTCGTCGTCGTCCGAATGCACAGTCATGCGAGTCACCGCATCGAGATCCGCCACGGCGAGCTGCACAGCGGGCACGCGCGCTCCCAGCTCCCCTACGCCGACACTCACTGCGGCTGTATACTGCATCATGGCGGTCTGCACATTTCCCCTCATCACATGTAACCGGCCCAGTGTTCTCAAACAGCCCATCCTTGAGTGCACCACTTCCGCTAGAGGGGATGACTGGTCCTCCGAAGATTTTTCGATGGTCAGTGTGCGGCGCAGAGCATCGGATACGAGCGATTCTGTATCTTGATTAGTGTTACCCAAGGCGAGGTGGACTTTGGTGAGTTCGAGAAGGCCGGTCACGGGCAGGAGACTGTTTTTGGTGTGGGTGTTTTCCCACATAGGAATGATTCGCGTGAGTATGCGAGCTGCTTCATCCAGGTGTCCCAGCTGGGCGAGCACACGCGCGAGGTAGTAGTACTGCGCGGTTGTCTCGTGAGAGGTGGCACTGAAAAGGTGTTCGTGCAGCTCGTGAATTTTGCGCTGAATCAATTCGCGGAGTCGGAGACGCTGGTCGGTGCTCGTGAGGGTGAGTTGGAGCAGAGCAGTGATCGGGTGGGAAGGCCCGAGGATCGCGAGAGATGCGGCGGCAGCGAACTTCTTCACTTGACTACGTAGGCGTCCGAGTTCAGTGTTGGAGGTGTCAAGACTGAGGTCTGCGAGGATGTAGTAAAGCTTTGGGTGTTGCAAGATCAGGAGGTCTGACAGCGTAGGGAGGACACGGCTGAGTATGGATGAGGCCGAGTCAATCCTTCCAACAGCCATCAGTCCGGCGGCCGTTGTGATGGAGCCGCTGAAATTTTCAACGCTCAGCATCTCGAAAGAGTTGATGCGCTCGATGTCATGGATTTGTCCGCACCACGAGGACTCGAACTTGCTCGTGTAGAAGGTGCTGGTTTGTAAGAGGATCTGTTCTATTTGTGAGTCTTCCTTGGACAGAGTCATGACGGCGGAGGGCGCCATACCGATGCGCCATGATGCGTTCGAGTGACCCGCCTGCGCGGTGGGCTTGCGGCGTTTGGCAATGTTGGCTTGCAGGGCTGCAGTAGCCGGCAACGGAGACACTTTCCGAGAGTTGCGCGGAGAATGTGCCCGTACCTCGCTCAATGCTTGCTTGAGTTCTGTATGGCCGATGTGATTGCCAAAATAATCGGCTCGACCATCGTCTGTGTCTTGCCCTGGAGTTGAACCCAGTAGTTCCAGCTTGTGCCTCTCTTCTTCCTCGGCCGAGTGGTTAACCAGATCCCAGATGGTGACCTTTCGTGAGGGAGGAGCCTCTTGGTTCGTAGAAGTCGCTTCTCTCAGGCTTGATGGAAGCGGGTAGACTGGCTCGTAGGCGTTGACTTGATCTTGATGAGCGGGAGCTGAGGGAGCCGTGCCATTTTCCGCAGTGCTGAAAGGGTAATCCACATGGAAGGGACTGTTCACATCGCCCTGTGAATTCAAGAACTTCCCAGCGGTCTCGTCAACCTTGGAAGAAGGATGAACAGCTCTAAAGGGCTTTGTAGAGCCTCGAAGTCCTGGCCTAGGCGAAGAACTCGAGCGAGTTCTAGCGCTATTTTCAGCTTTCACCCCGGAATTCTGCCCCGCATGTCGCCGAATCTGTGTGATGTTCTTCTTGCTGCGTGGATCGCCAGTAATCCAAGTAAAGGTCTTTGATGCCCCGTCCTCCCTGGGAGGCATTTGTCGGTAACACCTCTGAATCAAAAGGCACACACATCCGACCCAGCTTTTCGAGCTCGTGTAAAGCCTAATCTGGCTGGGGTTAGAAAAGGGGGGAAGATGCTGGTCTGGAACAGAGCCTGAGTCTTCGGTGAGGAGTAGGGGCCTTTTTGTTCAGTCGGATAGCTCGGTCAGAAATAGCTGCGCTTGCCCGGGGGAGCTTCAAGCGTCAATACCAAAACAGGCGCGAATAGGCTCCTTTTCTCTTTCGAAAACCTTACTCAGAACAGACAATTCGGAGACATTCTGCAGGCGGAGACTTCCAGCTCACCTCGACGAGATAGCAAAGAGCCTAGCTTGTCGCCGTCCATCAGCCGGCAGATTTTGGTGATAGCCCTGATCCAGTTTGGACTCGGATCATCCAGCTGAATAATTTGTGACTAACCGGACCACGCTCCTTGGCTCTCCTGACGGCTGGTTCACCAGGTCGGCACCTACATGTTGGCCTTTTCGCACTGACAATCTTTACGTACACGACGATTCTTTGCTGCCAAAAAGGGCGGGCCTCGACCATGGCGGCTGGAAACAAGGTCGCTCGTGTGATGTTGGCGAACATCACACCACTTCCCGATTTGTCTATGCGGTTACCATAAGCTGAAACGGTGGGTCAATCCAAGGCAAGTCTGACGAGGCTCTGGATCTCGATGGATCTGATTCTCCGCCGGGAAAACGGGAGAGTGGGTAACCACATGTGTCGATTGGTCTTCCGGTCCTTCGCGTCTCCTCCGAGTCGGTAAGAGGTGGGATCAAATCCAACGTCCAAGGCTTAGGTCCCTAGAGCACCTACTCTTTTAGGAATGCTGGTGATACTGCACCCTGCATTGTCCGGCTGAATAATTCCACCGGACAAGGGCACTCATTGGGTCTCGTTTCGGGGTGCTGTCTTTGATGGGACAGTCTCAGGACGAATACCTTCCATCGGCCCCGTGTAGAAGCGCCCCGTGACCCGGGTGTACTTCCAGGAGTAGACTTGAAAGTCGACAAATGGATGTTTTCCAGTGTTTTCGGGTCTCGGGGTCCACATCTGATGGGATTCGAGGCTTTGCCCTCGTCAGATTAGGTTGCAGGTCGCCGCAGACAACTGACGTTGGAGCAACACAGAGAATGCTATTCCAGCCGAGATGACACGTTGCCGTCTTGCCGCTCTGGGCGCCTTCCAGATACAGACAGTGCTGCTGTGCAGCTCTCTTGACCCGCTTGCCTCTGTGACTTGGATCTCGAGAATCTGCTGGCCAATAGACTGACCAGCTGGACTAGCCATTCCTCGCATGGCTTGGTAAGCCTCGAGCGGGCAAAGAGCGGCTATACCAGAGTGTAACGAGTACGAGGAGATGAGGTACGAAGTAGAGAGTCAGGTAGCGATCTGTGCTTCGCATGGAACCATGACAAACGAGTGGGTCTAGTAAGCTTGCTGCATGATTGGGAGAAACTAGTTCCCATCCGTAGAGCTGTGGCGGATTGAGCTCTGCGGGCCGAACAGAAGAGACAAATACCCAATGTGGTAATTGCCTCGAGTCGTCGAAGCCCGAAGTGCATCTTGCCTTCGAGCTGATATCAGTCATGCGCATGCTGGATACACGCATCATCAGTACAAAAAGGAAGCCACATACACAGGTGGAGGCAAACCGTGGGCGAGAGAAAAACGCCCCCAACATGAATCGCGTATGGGTAAGTCCGAGTAGTTGACAGCAATCTGGCGATACCCTGTGACAAGATCCATCTCCAGGCCGTGCGTTCCAAGACAAAACACATGGAGACTCGGCCATGGGTTACTGATGGGGATTCAACCCACTCAACCAGAGGACCAAACCTATACGTAACGGCATTTGCGGATGGTCCAAGTGCTTAGATGAACCTGCAGCATGGCTCAACAACAGATGTAGGTGGAGTACTCTACACATAACATTTCGAGATACGATTGGAACAACGAATGAAGGGAGGGGAGAGCGCTCACCAATCGGGCATTGTGACATGACATGACACGAAGCAATGGTGCAGAGCCTCAGCATCCAACGTAAAGGTAGGTAATGTGAGAATAGGACATCTGGAGTCTGAATTGCATGATGAATCCGTCACATGGCCAAAAGATGCCTGGTGGTGGTGGTGGTGGTGGTGGTGATGGTGATGCATTTCCCATGGCTGCAACCTGCGCTCAATTCGGAAACTGCGGCGAGCTCACATTGTTTCAATCACACTTCTCGACTTGTTCTATCTCACTTCGATCCTCCAACATCGTTCACTGTAACCCCGTACCGAGTGGATTGATGCAGATTGACGACTCTGTTTCTTGATTTGTTGCTGCAATGGTATACCCATCCAAAACACAAACACAGAGGTGCTCATCTGTCATCGCCATCTGACTCCTGTCAGAACGCAAGATGTCCGATAATCATGGACCGTTTCCCACAAGACTACGTCCTTCATAACCTGCCTTTCCTGCTGCTTTCAGGGTTGGATTCTAGAAGCCCCAGTGAGCCAGATCCGGTGGTGAAGACCCACGACTTCTTGCACGAAGGTGGATTTAGAATCAAGGTGGATGCGCCCATCGTCAGCGGGCCTCTCGCCGAGCAGTTACTCGAGTCTTTCTGCAAACAAGATGCCTCTGATCTTCCGTGGCACTCTCAATATTCCACATCGAGGAGTGGCAGGGTTTTCAGGATAGTCAAGGTCGGACGGGTAGGTCAGCGCTCCCCTTACCATACGGCTTCCCACAAAGATTGTGACGCTGACACATGGCGCAGGTTTACACTCTTCCTCCTCGTAAAGCACCGCCCCCTCCCCATTCTCCCCGTCTGTCGGCTGTCGGTGCAAATGGAAGTCCACCGCCAGCCCTTGTGCTACATTCTCCGCTGTCACCATTGACTCCCAGCTCTCCGCTGTATCCTGATGGCATCATTTCTCCTTTGTGGATCACCAAACACCAGTCACGCCTGCCTTGCGCCCTCTTGACGGTCTTTAGTCTGGTCTCCGATCCCAACACCAGTTCACTTCAGGATAATAAGTTGAAGTCCGAGGTCAACAATGTGCGGAGCGTGCTCACGTCGACGAATTACAAGACCAGACTGGTGGTTATTTTGCTAGGAGATGGCATGATTAATCCTGCTGATCTGGAAGACCGCGTCAGTACCATTCGGCGAGCAACTGGCTTAGACGGCAAAAGCATCCATTTCCTCGCTCATAACTCGTCGCCCACGGAGATCAATGTATTCGTCAACTCTGTTCTTTCGTCTCTGCATCCCCTTTGTGTAGAATATTACCGAGACCTTTCGAAACATGCACGACGCAAGCGTAATCGAAGCACAGCCCCGCAACCTACTGTACAGCCGGGGAACTCGCACATACTGTCTTCACAGGGTTGGAATGTCCGTTATGAATTCAAGCTCGGCGTCTTCGCCGAGTTCCGGCAAGAGATGGATGCGGCTTGTCGGAACTATGAGACTGCTTATGATAATCTGTTTGCGCCTGAAATTATTGATGCTATTGCCGTTTGGAGCACACGCTTCAACGAAGCAAGGCTGCTGGCGGATGTTATTGCCTTTCGCACAATCAGGTGTCTCTTGTGGACCGATCAAGTGACGACAGCAGTGAGATCATGGGTGGCCCATCGAGACCGAATCAGAGATCTGGTCGACCGAAGAGGTAAGGGAACAGATAACTACGGCTGGGCAGCGTGGCAGACTGCCTGGGCAAAAGTCATGGCGGACCTTGTATCTCGATCAGAATATCCCCTGTTACATGTAGGACTTCCCAACGCACCTGACTTGCTCCCTCTCTTTGTCGATGTGGACAAGTCGCTCTCTGTGGGCGAGAGATTTGTCCCTTGGGAACTGCTTCATCATGAGGGATATTGGCTGGATATTGCAAAGAAATGCATTTATGCCCGCCGGAGCTGGGCCTTGCAAATCCCAGAGGAAGATAGGCAGTCACCAGGTCGTTCACCAGCTTCTATGGTTGCCAGTAAGGCTCATCTTTACGACACCTATCTTGCCCTGGAGCCTTACCGCGAAGTTCCCATAGATGGAACCCCAGGATACGACTACCCGGGGGACATCATCTCAACGTTGGATGCGGCCATCCGTCATTTCGCAAAGCGAGGTCAACTGCGCAAGATTGAGGTTCTCGAGCTCCAGAAAGCTCTTGAACAAATCGAGACGGAATCGTGGGTGGAGGCAACCCTGACACTGCGACAGTTGTGGCATAGCAAAAGATGGAGACAGGGTGGATGGTGGAAGTTGCTGCAAGGTCTGGGCTGGGCACTCCTTGATTGTCTTGCTCATGTCGATGATGGCGAGTTACTCGTTCAGCTGATTTGGGAGCTCTCGAACGAAGTATTTGACCGGAAGCCAAACACTAACTATGATCTCCGTCAAGCGGTCCCACCGTCTAGCACCGACAAAGAGCCGCTGTCTGTCGCCGTGGGCATTGATGAGGCTCTTTCTCCCCTGGTTGCCACCTTTGCTTTCTCAACACACGATGTATTTGTTGGAGAGCCGGTGGAGTGTCAACTCTGCATCCTTTCTCGAGCACAGATGGGTCTCCCGGCCATCCGCCTATCAGAGATCAAGGTTGTCTTCGAAGGTGGTCTGAAACCCGTCCATCTGGTTGCAAAGGGAGAAGAGGGTGGCAACACCGAGACCTCGACTGTCAAATTCATAGACGTGCAGGCGGACGAATCATTAGCCATGTCCTTGTCGTCTATAAGGAGATCTTCCGCTGGCGCCGTTCCGTCACAGACGAGCAGTGCTGATCTAACAATTCCTTCGAACCACACCAAGATATTCCGGCTACGCGTCGTGCCTAGGGAGGCTGGGGAAATCGTCGTCGCTTCCATTACACTGATAATCGACCACGAGACTGTCTCATTTGCTGCAACTTCGACCGACTTTTCACACTCGATAGGTCGGTGGTGGGAATCGAAAGCGGGCAAACCCACGCCTCGATCGTTGGGACAAGAGTCAAATGCATTCAATAAGATCAACGTGCAACCCAAACCACCGAAACTAAAGATTGAGGCTCCAGGACTGAGACGCTCATACTACACTAACGAATCAGTGACAATAGATTTCGACATCTTGAACGAAGAAGCAGAAGATGTAATTGTGTCGCTCGACGCCCGCATGATCAGCCCGGTTGCGGGTGCGGCGCAGATAATGTGGATTGGGACGGGATCCGAGACTACTCCAGCGACTGCATCGGAAGCGGGAGTGCAAACATTGGAAAAACGAGAACTCGGAACGATTCCATCGTCAGGAAAGACTGTCGTGTCAGTCCGCATAATGGATACAGCCACCGCGGTTGATCACGAAGTAGAACTTCTTGCGACATATCGCCTACGTTCCGAACCCGAAACAATTCTTACAAAGGTCCTGACTGTCGATGTCGGGGTCATTCGGCCCTTTGAAGCGAATTACGACTTCATCCCCAAGCTCGACCACGAGCCTTGGCCGAATTTCTTCGAAGCCCCTCCACAGCACTCCGATTCTTTGACACCTCTGGGTCTGAAGCACCTATACTCCGTTGCAGCGAATCTCTACTCGTTCGCCACGGAGCCTGTGGTCATTGAGGCTATATTGCTCACAGCTACGAAAGTCGTAGGGGGTGCGGTTTGTTCAGCGAGCACTGGCATTGTAAGGAAATCTGCAAACACAGATGTTGCGACCAAAGACCCCAATGCAACCATTTCGACAGTGATAGAGCCAGACCACACAGAGACATTCGATTTTGATCTCTCGCTGCAGAAACTGATACTGGGCGATCGGCATACGGTGGCGGCGGAGCTCGCACTACAAATTGGTTGGCGCCGACAAGATTCGGACGAAGTCAGCACAACGCTTCTAGAAGTACCTCGCCTCGTTGCGCCGATGGCCGAGCCAAGAGTCATGCTCACCGTTTCCCCAACTGGTGTCGGACCGCCGGACATGGAAGCGCACAAGCTGTCTTTCACGATCGAGAACCCGAGCATGCATTATCTCACGTTCAACGTGTCCATGGAGGCGAGCGAGGACTTCGCGTTCAGTGGGCCGAAAGCGTGCGCGATCAGCCTAGTTCCTATCAGCAGGCAGTCGTTGAAATATCGGATACTGCCGAATAAGAAGAACGAATGGATCGCAGTGCATATGAATGTGGTTGATGCATATTTCGGACAGACGTTGAGGATTCTACCAGGTGGTAGTGGAGTCAAGGTGGACAAGAAGGGCAACGTGCTGGTCAAGGTCTGAGTGCATTTGTGCATCAATCTGGTAGTCAATATGAATGTAGAAAGGTTCTCCCGTCATCCATATGGTTTTGTGGATGTGTAGATATCGAGATATCTAGATACGAGCAAAACGAATGGTGACCAGAGGAGTAGCCAGAAAGCACTGCTGCCATATACAAACATTGTCGAAAGAATAGAGTGAAGTATCTATCTCATGGAATTCCAAAAGTGTCTGGATGGGGAACTTGGCGACTCTCTGGACTTCTCCGATATATTTAATCTTAGCAACGGGTTCCAATTTGTAGATGCAATCACGTCACGTCATATCTGTCTGCGCCAAGCAACATCGTTCGTCTCAATTCAGGTTCGCGCGTTTCTTTCTTTTTACCCGTGGCTTTTTCACTTGTTTTTGCGCCTGTCCAGTAAAGTACATTCGACTGAGGAAGAGCTCGGTCAGATCGGCCTCAAGAATGGAGAAGATTCAGAACCTCTTTGCTGGATTGACGGGGAAAGAGAAGATTGGCTTTATCGACACATCTCAGCCATCACTCTATGGTAAGGCTCGAGGGCACGGGCTTGTTGGCAATGGGATATGGGGCTAACAAAATCCTCAAGTTGCGGCCGTGGCTATCGCGTTCAATCCCATCTTCTGGAAGTAAGTACCGAGCATTCCGACGTTGGTTTGTTCAGAGACTGACTGTAGAAGCATCGTCGCTCGACAAGGCAAGAAACATTTTCCGTTCGGATAACTTTGTGACTGACAAGAACAGAGCACAAGACTCATTTTTTGACCAAGGCCTTTGGCTCGCCCTATTATGGCTGCTACGCCCTGGCTGTGACCATCTTCGGCATTGGCATCATTCGAGACTCTCTCTACAAATCCGCGCTTGAGCAGCAGCCGATCTATCCCTTACTACATCAGCCAGAACTCGGCGCCATCCTCTTTCTCAGCGGAAACGTCCTCGTCTTGTCCAGCATGTACGCCTTGGGTGTCACTGGGACCTACTTGGGCGACTACTTTGGCATCTTGATGGACCATAAAGTTGAAGGGTTTCCGTTCAATGTCACCGACGCACCAATGTACTGGGGGAGCACGCTATCATTCTTGGGCACGGCTCTATATTATGGCCGCGTGGCTGGGGTGCTGCTGACGTTGGAGGTCTTTGTGATGTATCTCGGCGCACTACGATTCGAAGAGTGAGAGACCTTCAATCCTTTGTTGTGTTGCGATCACTGACGAGTCCCCAGTCCCTTCACGGCGGAAATCTACGCGAAAAAGGATGCCCGACCTGTAACTCGGTCCATGACGAAGCAGCAGGGCAAAAAGAAGGCATGAGCGGGCGAGGGCTGCTCGGTCGAAAGGACGATAGTTACTCCCGATGCAGTTGACTGGCTACAAAATATCAAGAGGGAACTCCTGCGATCGGTCATGGCTCGGCCTGGGGAAACCCTCATGCCTCAGGCCACATCGAGCACTCAAGGGTTTCGACACGACCTCGACGAGTGTTCTCGGTTGCTTTGCTGGAAGCATTGCGTCATAAATTGGAAAACGCTGTGAACCCTGAAAGGCCCTTTTATTCGGGCAACTTTGCCGCGGCTCCAGTCCAGGGCGCATGTTGTGATTGGCTCCAGTCTTTCTTGTGAGCAACTGGATGAGGAGTGAGGGATGGTGAAGTTTGAAAGTCGACCTGCGACCCTCCCTTGCTGTTTCGTTCGACTCATTCTTCCCATGTCAAGCCTATAATACTAGTACACTCAAAATGCGGCGTGGTAATTGATCGTGGCTTTGCCTTTTCGTCCTTTGCTTCCAGCCTTTCCAACCCCGCTAATCCTCGAACTTCCTGGGCTGATCTTTTGTCACCCTCGTCCCTCGCTGCCACTCCCCCTTCGCACTCTGGACCACAAACATGCCTCCTCAACATGTAGAGATTGCAGAGACAATCGCGGCGCTCAAGCGAACCCTACGACGCGAAAGAGACGGTACATGACATCCTTGATTCTTGAGACCTGCTCCCTGCGTACGGTCGAGCTAATCCTCTCTCTCTCTCCACCTTTCAGGTCCAGCCGACCAGGTCACCTCTGCTGCCACGAACAGAGGCCATAAACTAGCACGTGGTGCGAACTATATTCACGCTGGCTCTCTGCCGTATCCGCAGGGCCCAGAAGGCCATAAGCAAGTATGGTCGCATGCAAACATTTGCCGGGTCCGAGAAGCTCACCGCGCGCACAGAAAATAGAACATGCTGGTTACGCGCGATACATTCTGCAACGCAACCCGAGAAGATACAATGAATACGGCGACGAACTGGACGACAGCGAAAGTGACGCCGAGGCAGATGCCGATGCAGAGGACGAGAATGCCTACGCTGGCATCCGTCTTGAAGGTACTGACCCCCAGCTGCATCCCTGTGATGTTGAAACGATCGCTGATATGGTCTGCCAGAGCTGTTATGTCCTCTAAAGCATCCTTCTGAGCTTTCGAGCCACCCTACGTTATCTTTACCCTTTACCGACCGTGCCCTTCCTGATATGATCAGATCTACTGAGGAGAAACTGCGCCAAGAACGAACAAATCTCTGGCGGGCCAAAAATCTGAACAGGCAGTTCATGGGAGACGAGCCGTGGATGCCTCTTGAGAGTACCGAAGGTGTGGACGATTGGGATCTCTTTGACCCCAAACCCAAATTGCTCCTACAGCAAGCGGGAAAGAAGAGGAAGCGCGGATTCGAGAGCGAGAACACCCAGAACGGAGTCAACGGGCACAACTACGCGAATGGAGAAAAGGATGAGGCAATGTCCAATGCCGCGCCCAGTGTCCAAGAGAAGAGCCCGAACGCAAATGATAGGCATCAAGCTACAAAACCCAACAAATCCCGACTACATCCAGAAACGACAGAGGAGCAGCCTTCCAAAGAAGTAGCTGGTGGTGAATTGGAACATCCAAAAACGAATGGGGTGCATAAAGAAGAACCACCTGCGAAAGAGGACGCGCCAGAGACAGGCGCAGAAGAAGCCCAAGAAGAGTCCAAAGTTGTGGCAGGAGATGAACAAGAGCGGGAACAAGAGCAGGATGGTGAAACGGTGTCTGAAGACGAGGATCGACCGAAACCCACACGAAGAATTACTCGAGCCCTGGCTGCCGAGCACAACAGCTCGACTGCACCTACTCCTCCCTTTTCTCCCGAATCGACGGTTTCAACCATAGACTCATACCTCCTTCAACCAGACCCGTTATTCCTTCTCCCAGCTGTCCTAGCAGCAAATCACCGACCACCACGAAGCCTCGCCCGCCTCGGCCTTCCGGTCGACGAGCTCATCGAAACCCGTCGTCTCCTGATGATGTACATCCAAAAGCAAGAGGAGAGCGTGCGCGGCTACGAGGCCGTGCTGGGCAAGCTGATCAAGGCGAAAAGGATGCGGGACAAGGTCTGGAACTGGTGCAGAACCGAGGGCCACGTGGGCGAGTGTTCTGACGGAGAGGACTGGATCGACGCCGAGGCCTGGGGACTGCAGCCCGAGGAGCTGAAGAAGGGGAAGGACGAAGAAGTGGACGAGGCCCAGGAGGACACGGGACGCAAGGGCAAGAGGAGACGAAGAGATTAGAGATCTCGGAATATCAGCCACATCCAGAGCCAGCCCGTGGCGCCTACTGCCCAGCTTGTTTCTGGTCCTCCAGGCCAAACGACATCTTCATGGCTGATGCTGGGAACTTCAACACGGCCTAGATTGGGCAAGGTCGGCGGTATTTTTGGGACGAGCAGTGCCAGCGTATCAGATATCCAGCAGCTGAGGGGATAAGTCGTTCTTCGCTTGTTAGCCATTTAGCCAGTTTTTAAAATCATAAATGAGAAGAAGAAATCAATTCTTTGAATTTTTGGAGATGCTCTTTTTTTTTCCGTTTCAAGCTCATTGCAGTGTTCGGGCGTCGGAAAGACATCGGCGAGTTCTTTCAAGAACAAGTATGTACATACTCTGGGTATGGGGAAGCTGGATCTAGATCTGGGTCTGGATCTGCCATGCCGTTCGTGTGGACATTATCACACCTTTCTTTGCCTTTTATGGCGATCCGTCCGGCTCCTGTCTGTGTCTGTCTGTCCGTCCGTCTTTGTTTCTTTCCATGATTCAGCCTCAGAATCCCTCTGAATGTGTTCAGTTTCTCCCAGGAGGGCGGCAGACGCCTTGACGCCGACGCCGATGCCGATGCCGGTATGCTCGAGAACGCTTTACACAAAAGCAATAACACGCCTTGACGCCATTCCTTTCCTTTCCCTCAGTCAGTGCTGCCCAGCCATCCTTCATGATCTCATAACGCCGTTTCGTCGCCATCTCGTTTAATGCGTTCTCGTGATGTGTCCGGTGTCCACAGTTCAATGCGCAGCTTGTCCGCCGGCCGGGGTCGTTCCGTACAAGGCCACACCCTCAGTTTCGCCACCGTGAGCGCCCACTCTCCTATCGCCGTTGTTGCCGACTTCGTCGTCTAGTTCTTCGACGCGGTCGTCACCTGCCCCATCGCTGCTTTCGGCGTCTTCGACAAACAGTTGCTGTCCCTCGGCAATGACGTGGGCATCCTCCAAGCGCTTTCGCTGTTGTCTCCTCACGACGTCCTGCCACCTAGCCAAGACAGCCGCGTGGTGAACTTTAAATCCGAAGACCTTGGGCTCGTAGCGTCTCCTGGACTTGACGGGCACGAGAGCGGGGTAGACCTGGAACAAGATGTTGTGGAAGGAACTGCCAAAGTAAGCACCGTCGATGGCGGCGTGCCGGGACGATTTCGGGTTGTAGATGTCCTCGCACTTGGCGCAGTAGAGCTTCACCGTCTTGAGGCCCGGGTTGTCGCTGGGACCGAATGGCAGAAGCGGGTGGCTCTCGCACATGACACGTGGGCAGCGGCCGAAATCAGATTTCTTGAATTTCTCAACCATCTTGGCCAAGCCGCGGGTGGTGACGATGTAGCGCGCGTGGACCAGGCCGTACAGGTGACGGGCGGACTTTTCAATCGTCTCGCGCATGTCGTCTTCACAG